CATTTTTTATCCTATTTATACAAAAAAAAATCATATTATTTAAGCCAATTAATATAACAAAACATTTTTTAATTGGCCAACAATTAAAACAATTGTTTAACAAAATGTGTTATTTTGAATTACAAGTCTGCAACGTTTGTCCTCAATGAGTACCATTGATCTCATAGTTAACGTCTATAACCAATACCCTCTTTCCTAATGAAATAATATAATAACATTTCGACTAATCAATTTCTCTTTACATATTTAAATGAAATATTTACAATTTTTTTAAAACTCCTGTGAAATTCAAATGCAAATATTTATTATTATTTTTATCTGTATTCTACATTTGAAGTTTCTTTTTAACAAACTTTTAGTTGTTTTCAATTAGTCATAAATTAATTTTTACAAAATTATTTGAATTATTGGATTTTAAAACTTAAAATACCATAAATTNGATTTTAAAACTTAAAATTACCATAAATTAGAACACTTTACTTATAGTAATAAAATAGAACTACAAATAAAATGTCAGATCATAAATGACCATGGCAGTTATTTTGCCTATATACGCCGTTTCTAATAAGTTTACTTTCTTTAAGAACGTAAAATATAAAAAANTTTACTTTTTTTTAAGAACGTAAAATATAAAACGTTACTTTAATTTAAATCAAATAAGCAAATTTAGTGTCTTTGATGATTGTGGCGCTTGTCACGATTAATTGTTATGATTTTATTGTAACGTCTATTTTTTGTGTAAAACTAAGTATTTTTTATTTAAATTCATAATATGAATAAACTCAAGACAGATATTTATTGGAAATGTTTTAAATACCTCATTTACAACATAAAATATAAATAAATTTGTATTTAAACATTATAATTTGAATTAATTTACGAAAAATAAATTTTATTTTATTCAAAATGTATTGCTATTGAAAAAAATATAATTTTCTTAACAGTTTTTTGCAAAAAAAAATATCAAGTTGAAAAATAATTTATGAACACTTCTTAATGGCATTGNAAATATCAAGTTGAAAAATAATTTATGATCACTTCTTAATGTCATTGTTTAATATAAATACTCGTTTTGTTTTGTACTAAATGAATCAAATCGATTAACCAAAATCAATATAACTGTTTAAAAAACAAGACAGTATGACAAAAATATGTCTAAATTAATTCTTATTTTAGTTTCTGCGTCTCGTCGTACAATTCACTTCCAAAAAATATACCATAAATGAAAATTTTTAATGAATCATAAGAATAATGTTACTCATACATACATATATATATATATATAATTTTACTATTCATATAATTATTTGAATAAAATATCAGTCATATTTTTCTATATAACTAATAAATATAGCTTAAAAAAACTAAAAAACACGCTTTTAAAGCATATCGAACTAAAAAGTTAAAAATAATTTTGAAAATAAGCTTAAAACAATAATGAACGAAAAATACTAATATGATTGGGAAAAATAGTGTCGAGCGCTCAATATACGAAAATTATAGCTCAAAGCCCTCACCCTTTTTTTCACAATAATACTAATATTTTTCGTTCATTATTGTTTTAAGCTTATTTTCAAAATTATTTCTAACTTTTTAGTTCGATATGCTTTAAAAGCGTGTTTTTCAGTTTTTTAATAATAAGTAAAATTCTCTTCAACACATTTTTATCGTTAAAAGATCTTATATTTTAATATAAAATTATCATAACTGAAGTAATCTTACATTCAAATAGCTATGTTATGTGAATTATGCAAACAATAATAGATTCAAATAAGTTAAAAAATCAACCAGTTATAAATTTAAACCGATGTATCTACATTTTTCATAACCTAATTATACTCTACTGATCTAACACCTCACTACAAAACTAAAACCCAATTTAATATAAAATCAATTTATTTTAATTTGGGTTAAGAAAAGCAAAGGCGAATGTTTAGTTATCATTGATGTATTCGAATAACTCGGGCCTACCTAAGGAAAATAGTACTTAAAAGAAATTTAACTAGATTATAAAGATGTTAGTAATGAATTAGAACTCCTGACTAAGAAAACTCTTAGACAAAAAATCACTAATTTTGTTTGGTTTTGAAATTAATTTACTCGGTCAGTCAAATTAAATAACTTATTTAGGTTTATTACTAAATCTATTTTTAAATTATTATATTGTTTCATATATACTTCTATACTGATTTAAATGAAATGATTCATGCTCTGATTGCTAAAGATTTAATTTACATAATTTCTTGTTTTTACTCTAATTTTGAATTAAAAAAAAAGTAACATGTTTTAAATTTTAGGTGAAGATTGGTTGTGTTATAATTTTTAGCTTCGACGTGAAGCTGAGGAAGTATTAATATTACTATGATAGTTTTTTTTTTTTTGTCTGTTACCACTCAATCTCAGCTTTCACTGGAGCGATATTTAAGAATACAAAATGTATCTAGTCGAAGACATTACTCTCAAAAATTAAGAAAAATTATCTTGTTCGCCGTAAATGAGGGAAATCGCCAAAATATTTACAATTTTAAAAATCAGTAATTTTTGTCATTTATTCCATTTTTTTTTCTTAAGGCTGCTATAACTTTTTTAAAAATGAACAAATCAATATAATTTTTTTTTATAGATACCTTAGGTATTTCACTATCATTTGATATATTTTTGTAAACATTTGACTTAAGTACTTTCATAATAAAGTAGCAAAGTTAAAAAATCAAAATGTAGCTAATGATGGAAATTATTAAATTTTGATAAAATTCAAAACTAAAACCCAACCAGAGTCTTAAAAAATATATGTTTTTAATGATTTGTACAATGATAACTACTACACTATTTAATTGTTTACTATTCCTACATTTAATATGAGTTAATTAAAAAATTAATAGTTTTAACTTCTATGTGAAGTATTATATTTACTATAATGTGTTTAATTTAATTTTTTTGTCTATTACCATTCAATCTCAGCTCTCGCTAGACCAATTTTGATGAACAATATGTCATATGATTAACAATAATTTTCATTTTTATATATTTAAGTAGCTTAAAATAAAAGAATTTAATGAATTAAGACTCCATAACAATCAGTTATAAATGTTGACTATGTCAACATTTGAGTTCAATTTGTTTTTTCCCGTAAATATAAGCTATCATCACGTGTAAGCATTTAGAGTTATTTAACTAATTATTAATATGGCAAGCTAAAGCATACAGTTAGTCATATTTATGAAACAAATATGTATGATGTTAAACACAGAATTGAAGAATTATGGAATCGTCGTTTCATGAGTTCCAATTTAGTCGCTGATAGTTTAGACGAAATCCAAAAATCAAAGTCAGTCAGTCTAAAAGTGAAATTAATAACTGTAGACACTGTGACGTTCACCGATAACTAACCGTGAGGTTATCACCGATGAAGCACATAAACCCAAACGAAGTTGGATTCACCACTAGCCGAGGCTCTACCAGACCGGAGCATAGTGGAATTTTAAATATAACTGACACATTTGTTGATTTAATTTACTAAGTTTTTACCTTAACTCTAGGGGAAAAGGAATTAAAAACTGGTAGACAAGTAGTATAGGCGATGATGTTTTATTTTATATACTGAGTTTAACTAAAATAATAATGCCCAAAGTACAATAAAATAAATGTCAGTTACAAATGTTCAAAATAAAATAAAATTACAAATTCTTTTATATAACATATTTCAAGTCATAGTTAAAATTATTACAAATTATTAAATGAGCTAAAAGACAAATAGAATAAAAGGGACATGAGGGAAAAAATAATCTCTGACACTGCTGTATTGACTATGTTCGATTTGACCAAGGGACAGGATCGTACTTTCCAATATAGAATAAAATAAAATGGTTATCATTGCAATAATGCTCAAACTAAGAACATGACATCGGTCAATATGGATCTAGGCCTTTTATACCGAGCCTTGAGACTGCTAAGCACGTCTAGATTGGTCCAACACATGTGAGGTTTTATCACACTCAACGTAATAAAAATAATGATAGAATGGACGAAAATGATATTTTACAATAATTTACCAATAGTCAATGAGCAAATATGCCAAGAGATCAGATAGAATAATCATATTAAAATATTTAAAATATATTAATGTGATTTTTAAAGAAACCTCGTGACAATGCACGAATAGAGGAAACAATTAAATGGACAAAAATAAAGAAAAACGGGAATGCTGTACAAAGTTACCAAATTATATTATCATGATGACCAAGCCGTAGTCAACAAATTGATCTTCACCCATGGCTCGATCGCCAGTGCCAAAAGTAAAGTTAGGCAGCCATGATATGTTCAATATACGCAAAATAAAACTAAGTAAAAGGCTGGAGACAGAATAGACGACCGGCCAAAACACATTTGAACAAAACGGCCAGACCACTTGACGGCGACGACACACATGGACCGGAAGGGGAAACAAATGCCGACATCAGTGCATGCCTCGTTGACAGACATCTGGGACCAGTTGAATGATTGACAGTACTGTAGTGGTCAGCTGGGCGTTTGTTATCACAATGATAATTTGTTATGAACGATTGTACAACAGATAAAATAGTAAAAGGAATGTGCGACTGCATTATTTAGGAAAATTTAATTATGTTATTACTGAATTATACTGTTCAAAATTAGTTTTTATTCACCACGAAATTAATTCTATCTAGACAAATAACACCGCATTACCAATTGCCGAGCAGTTACACTTAATTATATGATGTTCACAATAACTAATTTAATTAACTAATGTGTTAAATAGTACTATTAATGATAGGTCAATTTTTTACGTCACAACACTATTAAGATTAATTAAACTAATTATCAAGAAACGGGAAAACGATTAGATATCAAATATAACAAGAAATTAAAAAAGATTATTCTCTTTTTGATAAATAATAATTATTTTTTTATTTTAGTTAAAAACATTTTAATATTATTCACTAGTTCAGTAAATTATAAACATTAGAGTAGATATAATATCAACGTCAATGCATTTTTTCACCGTAAACATTTTCAAAATTAACTATTTAATTAATAACTTTTAAAATAATATTCTCTTAACAGCAAATTCTAGTGGAAATATTAACACTGAAACAAATACAGTTAAACCAAAAAAGCGAACCTATCGTAAACAGCTTGAAAGTGATGAAATTATTGCAGAAAAAGTGGTAATTAAAATTGTATAGATATATCGACCCTTCCAATTTAGTAGAAATAATTTAATATTTGTTATTATCTAGAGCAGCTGTATAAATGTATTATTTTTCGAGATATTAGTAAAAGATTGTAAATAATTTCAATTTTAACAACTTAATCTTTTTTATTTCCAATAAGGTTTTTAAATAAAAGAGACTTTTTATGGAAGATAATAATTACGTATTAATTATATTCCAATTATTCATTTTAATTTGTCATTGGTGACGCCTAGAAATTGATACAGCGAGGAGATATTGGAACACTTATTAGGAATCAAAAATATGGAGAGAAACTATCAGTTCCAACCAAAAAAAGTTATATACCAATTGTAAATGACAAAGCACCAAAAATACCAGCATATTTATTAGGAAAAGTAAATTTTATTCTGCATTGTTTTATATTCAAAAATTATACAAGTAGCCTAAACATATCTTTTGACTTAACGTAGATTTTTTCAATAAATTAACTAAAATTTATCCCATAATTTAATATATTCTTATGATTCGTTAAGAGTTTTCATAAGAATCATTTGCATCGCAACAAATGCGATGAAAAAAAGCAACCCATAGAAGTATCTTCCAATGATAATGATGGCCCTAATATAGAAAGTAACTTATCCGAAGAACATGATGAAGTCATTAAAAGTACATAAAAAAATTTAAACTACATTTCGATTATTGAAACAATTATTTTATACTTTAAACTCTTAATACTTAAAGAATTATAAGCTAATAATGAACCTTCAAATGACGTTACAAAACCTGAAGTGTCTACTGATAAAGTAAAAGAAACTCCAGAAGAGAAAATAATTCATTTAGAACCCGCAAAATATGAAGTAAAAGAGCAACTCCTAGAGATATCCTCTTCTGAAAGTTCAAATTTAAAAAGAAAGTCATCCGAAAAAGATGAGAAAATCATAAAAAGTACACAATATTTTTTTTTTTATAAATACTAACTTGCATATTATGATTATTTAAATTATTTTCTTATATTTTAAAACATAAATACTTTTAGAGGCAAAAATTAGTTCTGAACTCTTACATGCGACAACGTCAAATGACGTTACAATACTAGAAGTGTCTAATGATAAAACAAAAGAAACTCTAGAAGAAAAAATAATTGATTTACAACCCGCAAAATGTAAAATAAAAGAACAACTACCGGAATTATCCTGTAACACTACCGAAAGCCCAAATTTAAAAAGAAAGTCATCCGAAAAAGATGAGAAAATCATAAAAAGTACACTATAATCTTTTTTTATAAATATTCACCTGCATATTATGATTATTTAAATTGTTTTCTTTAAATTTTTAAAATTTCAAAAATGTTGAATGACGTTACTTTACCAGAAACGCCTGTGAACACATATAATAAACTAATAGAATATAAACAGCTCATCCAGTTTACTTCCAATACTACTGACGACCATAACTTCAAAAAAAAACTCATTTGAAAAACATAAAGAAGACACAAAAAATACATAAAAAAATTAACCTGCATTTTCACTATTGACACAATTTACTTACACTTTTAAACTTAAATAATTTTAGAGTTGGAAGTTAACATTTAAACATTTGTGTTCGAGAACATGGAATGACGTTATTTCACCACTTATGTCCACCGATGACACAAATAATAAGCTGGAAGAAAAAAAACAATCCATTGAATAAACTACAAATGATATTGATCGCCCTAACATAGAAAGTAGCTCATCTAAGACTGATAAAAAAGATATTAAAAGTACATAAAAAAATTTAATCTACATTTTGATTATTGAAAAATGTTAATATCTTTAAAGACACTTGATAGATCATTTCTTTAATTTTAAGTTAATAAAATAAATGTTTTTAATTTAAAAAAAATTAAGTTTTACTACTTAAAAGAAGAAAGTGGGAGGATATGAACAATTTTTTTTTTTTGAAATACTAGAAATAGGATTCTATTAATTTCTGAAAAGAAAATATTATGATATGTGTTATACTTTCTAGTAAATAATTATTTTATTAAAATATTCCTAGAACCTGAGTGGACTTTATATAAAAAAATTTATAAATGCTTAATGTTATAATTAAAGTTTTTATAGATCAGTAAAAAGTATTTAATAAAACAAAATAATTTTTAGTTAAAATAACATTATTACTAATACTACTGTAACTATAGCACACGAAACTAGAACAATACGATTAATAATCAACCTAATGAATTTTACCAAAAAAAACCAACTTAGTTTACATAAAACCTACACTTGTTTTAAATTTTGGTCTATCATAATAAAAATAATATAACGTCAAAAAATTACAATTTTTCTCCCCTTTGGTAGAAAAGAACAGCTGCCGGCTGTTGGATACGCATCACGAGAGGGCGTTTTTTTAAATTTGTTGTTATGACTGATAACGCCACTCGCACTACCACCACCGTATGTAAGAGAAATTCATTATTATGTCGGATGATTACGTACACGATGGATGTATGATNTTCATTATTATGTCGGATGATTACGTACACGATCGATGTGGAAATCCTTTGAGTCGTAGTGTATGTGGTGTTGTTACTATTTTGGCCCTTGATAAAGTGTTCCGTAATGATTTTTTCGTGCATAATAGTTTTTTATGTATAGCAATCGCCCTAGCGATTTGCGTGTACCTTAGTACGCAAATATAGTAAATTCGCCCTGCGACTCGCCTTGTACCCTTGTACATCGCCATATCATCGCCTTGCGATTAACCACATCCCATTAATGATAGTGAATTGTATCCACCATTTTTTGACAAAGTTATTCATTCCAAATCAGTTCATTTGTACAATTTTCAAGACTACAGTAATTGCTAAGTAATTATTTAGTTGTAATCATCTTATTACTTATGTATATATATATATTACTGTTTATTTGTCTTTGCGCCAGTGTGGCATTAGTATTAAGTGTTCCCTCCCTTTAGTACATATACAAGAATTTATGATTTATGTTAAAATACAATTTATTGTTTTATATTCTTTCAATACATTTACTCATTTATACAGTCCACTTCCTATTTCTTTCTTCTGCATGATATAGATACTCCAAAAACGAACAGTAACTTACCCGCACATCATTATCGGGTGTTCCATTCAAACACCGGGTCAGGGCAGTCACTCTGAATTTCTGATACGCGCTCATACCGCACCGTTGAATGTTCAACTTTCAACTATCTTAAGTTCACATCTCATTTCAACATTTATTTAATGATAAATTAAACTTTTCTTAAAAAATAACAATGGAGATAGTTAATATTTTTATTTTTTTTTTTTTTTTTAATATAAAAAATATTAATTTGTATTAAGTTATTAGTTGTATACTACATCCACATATTAGTTTATATATATCATTTAATAGTTAAAAATAAAATAATTTATTAAAATTATAAAATTGCAGTTTTTTGATTATACAGGGTGATTCATTAAGGATAAGACACTCGTTTACTCAGTAACTGTTGAAAATTTTAAATTTTTATAAAGAGAAAAATTATTAAGCTTATAAAACTCAACAATAATATGAAGCTAAATAATTTTTTTTTTTATCCCTTCTGGGATAAAATTGTTTATTTATAATTTTTTTAAATGGAAACCACTATTTTTGATTTGATAATATGATAGCAAAAATGTTATCGTAATCATTCTTTACACAAAATAATCTTTTTAATTTTTGTTGACTGATATGAATTAAAAGCCTTAACATAATCATATAAACGCTCGTCTTTTAAAAGATTTTTGTTCGTTTAATTATTTTAAACATAACCTTAAAAAACTAAACTAATTTGTTTACTAATTTGCCGGCTTTACTACAAGCTTGCGTGGTCAAACATTTTTGTGTATTAATAATGTTACATTGTTTAATTATCATCTAGATATAGTGTTTTAGTGCAGCATATTAATAAAAAACTGTTTTATTTGTATGTTGTTACAATTAATAAATTATATTTGAAAGTTTATTGAAATAATAAAATTAAAAGAATATCGAATAATAGGCTGCAGAAAAAATGAAATTTACCGAAAAATTAAAGAGATTAATTTTTGAAGATATTTACAGTTTTGGATTTGCTGCTGTTGAATGACAAAATTACCGAAAAACTTTTTTCTCTTAGAAATCTACCTCTTAAAATAATTTGTATTTTTTACACTCTTTAGAAAATATAAATAGATTATAAGTTTTAAATTATTATTTAGTTTAGTTTTAACTTCAGTAACATAAAAGAACTTATAAAGTTTTGTAATAAATGATTTCATATCCATTTATATCATCCATATTATGGAGTAATGCCAAGATGAAAAAAAATGAGTGATGATTTATGTAAAATACTAGTAATTGATGAGAAATAAAGTATTTATGTAAAATATTAATACTTGATGAGAAATAAAGTAAAATATATGTTGTAAATAAAAAAAGTTTTACTCCTAATTTGATCTTATTGATAAGTCTATAATAATTTTTTTGTTTTATAGATATTTTTTATGTTTTAATAACACCTATACAGTTCTTTAGCAAATATAAGTAGCTAAAAAGCATGTAAATATATAATTTTTTCTATAACCTGATCGATTTTCTTACTTTTAAGATAATTAAAAGTATTATAGAAAAAAAACGTTTTTTTTACTGAAACAAATAATCTTAAACTTTTAAATGCATTTTTCTGGTACACTTAATATAATTATTTGTTCAGCCAAAACTTATTTTATAGTTCAAATATGATATATATTTTTTTTAACTATGAAAACTTAATCATTAACTTCTAGGTATGTAAAGCAGATAGATCAAGTATGTGTTATTAAAAAAAAATTTTTTTTATTAGTGATAAATACAAAAAATATACTTTAAGCATAGTCTAAGTAGGCAATAATTATTTATAAAATAATAATTATATCAAAAGTTTTAAACAATGTTAAATTGGTTCGAGTTGTCTGTATGTATTTTGTACACAAGAGGTAAACTATTCTAGTTTTTCAAAAAAAAAGTTATGGCAATTTTAAGTAAAAAATTGAAAAAATGTCAAAAATTAGCAATTTTTAAATTTGTAAATTTTTGGGGGATTTTTCCCGTTTACGGAAAACGAGAGAATTTTTTTCAAATTTTTAGGGTAATGTCTTCAACTAGATACGATTTGTAATCTTTTGACATAATCAGTCCAGTGACAGCTAAGAAAATATAGTGACAGACACAAAAAATAAAAATAAATAAAACATCATGGTAACATTAATACCTTCTCAGCTTTGCATCGAAGTTAAAATTGGTTGTTATGACTAAATAAAAGTACTCACTATACTAGTATAATAACTGCATGGGTTACTTTATCTATTAAATTTATAATTTGATGCAAAAGTAATTTTGTTAACTAATCATAAGAGGAAAGCTCTAATAAATTATTACCCTTTGCCGTAAGTAAAATTTTTTAGATTTAAAAAATTCACAATGTAGTATATTTTAAACAATTTACAATTTGTTTTTTTTTTACACTAGCGTTTGCTAATATTATAAATATTTCTATGTAGTTGAATAAATTTTCTTTAGAAGTGTATTTTTTTAGTTTAATTGTATTATTGTTTTTACTTCAATATTTTTGTGTAAAAAATTATATTTAATTGATTCATTATTAAGCGCAATTAATTTTTTATCTTGTACAGCAAAAATTGTATAACTCTGAAAGCAATAACTGTACCAGGAATTTAAATAGTGTAGTTTTTTAAATACATTGGATATAATTTATTTGTATTAAAATCCCAAAAATAGTTACTTAAGTTAAATCTACGATTTTAGTTAAAAACTGTAATAAATGTTAAATAAATTTAAACATGAGATAAAATCAGATATTAAAAAAACCCAGCACAGGGGGGTCGCGGCACAGTGGTGACGTGGCATAGTTGGATCAAGTATAATGATATCTGACAGTGATTAAAATCACTATAAAAAAAAAACGCTTCGATGCAAATCTTTAGATAGTGTTTAATTTTAAAAAATT